CTGCTGCTGCTGCTGGGGCATCTGCTGCGGCACATGCTGTTGAAACATCTGCTGCGCTTGCCCGTTGGGCATTTGCGGCATTTGCGGCTGCGGCATCTGTGGCGTCTGCTGTGTTTGCTGGTCCGGCACATGTTGCGAACCCATAGCCACAGAGGTGGGCGCCTCATTCAACTGAAACTCCAGCATTGAGCTGTGCCCAACAAAATCTGTGTGTGTGTGTGTCAAAGCCTGTTTCCAAGGCTGCATACAATGTCTAGCGTGTAAAACCAATTTTAACAGCGCGAGCAAAAAGAGGCAAGGGACCCGGCAGGATACATCGTCGCCTGGTCAACGAAGCTAGCGATGTATCCGAGGATATGAAAATAGGACGCCATTTCCACGTACCTGCAAACTTCCTAAAAATAGCTTTGGAAGCCTATTCGTTGCCAATGTTAAACCATTCAAGTGACGCGGGCTCTTTCACCTTTCCGTTTGCAAGTCAAGGTCTACAATGCAGCTGGTATTGTTCTAAAGTGGGACTTCAACTTCACTCTGAACTTAGCTCTTGCAAGCAACCGTCTAAGTGTGTGTGTGTGTGTCGCCACAGAGTTCCAGTGAGGGCTGTGGTGATGTGCACAGAACCAGATCCTGTGGGGGACCCACCCTGATTGCTCCGTCTCTGCACTGAGACTTCGTTCTGCAACCCCCTTGATTGACTGCTTTGCACGATACTACTGATACTATGCCGCAGGGCTTACTGAAATCAAATTCCAGTCAGGATTCCCGCATGCTGCTAAGTATTCATATGTCCACGTCATGCTGCTAAGTATTCACAGGCCGGAAGAGAGCGAGAAACGAGAGTGGGTTTTTTGGGTCGTTTGGTTTTTCTTTCCTGCTGTTGCTTTTCTTTTTCTGGAGGCCTGTCTTTAGGTTTCTTTGGGTTTCAGTCAAAGATGTGCCGAAAGCGGTTTTACTTGATGCTGCTAAGTATTCACAGGCCGGAGGAGAGCGAGAAACGTGAGTGACTTTTTTTGGTCCGTTTGGTTTTTCTTTCCTGCTGTTGCTTTTCGTTTTCTTGAGGCCTTTCTCTAGGTTTCTTTAGGCTTCAGTCAAAGGTGCGCCGAATGCGGCTTTACTTGAACGCCAGTGATGGCAATGCCTTCGGGCCACCCGAACCCACCCTCCCCCCTACCTCCTTGCCCCTCGCCTTGGTTGCTACCCCACCCGCTATCTAGGGTAACAGAAGGAAATCGCACTCAACACACTTGTGTGTTGGTGCCTTTCCTTCTGTTTCTCCTGTCCTAGTCCTAGCTACCCGGGCGGTCTAAGACTAAAGTCCCGCTCGCTAACTATTGCACTTAATTCGTGTAACTAGAAGGCTTCGTAACTAGTGGACCTCGTAACTACTCCTATCTTTCTCTCTTGCCCTCTTCGTTTGCACTTTCTGTCTTTTCTTTCTCTTTCTTTCTAAGGCTTGTTAGGTGGCTAGTACTTTCCTTCCGCGCCGCTATCGGCGTGATGTGTGTGTGTGTGTGTCACAGCCTGTTTTTAAGGCTGCACGCATTTTCAAATTTTGACACCAATTTTAACCGTAGGGGCGGTAACTAGAGGTCCAGTAACTAGAGGGCCTCGTCACTACCCCATCCTTTCTCTCTTGCCCTCTTCGCTTGCTTTCTATTGTTCTTTTTCTGTCTTTCTAAGGCTTGTTAGGTGGCTAGTAATTCGTCTGAGCGCCGATATCGGCGTCGTGTGTGTGCGTGTCAAAGCCTGTTTCCAAGGCTGCATACAATGTCTAGCATGTAAAACCAATTTTAACAGCGCGAGCAAAAAGAGGCAGGGGAGCAGGCAGGATACATCGTCGCCTCATCAACGAAGCTGGCGATGTATCCGAGGATATGGAAATGGGACGCCATTTCCACGTACCTGCAAATTTTCCAAAAGCTTTGGAAGCGTATTTCGTTTCACCCCAATGTTAAACCATTCAAGTGACGCGGGCTCTTTCACCTTTCCGTTTGCAAGTCAAGGTCTACAACGCAGCTGGTATTGTATCGTATATAATCGCTAAAGTGGGACTTCACTCTGAACTTAGCTCTTGCGAGCAACCATCTAAGTGTGCCCTCCTGTTGCATCTCTCTACAAAACCAGCTTCTGTGGCCACCACTAGGAAATTGCAGAGCAGCAGTTGTAGAAAGGTTTTCTACTACAATGTCTTACATTACATTTGTAATTACGCCAGGATTTGGGCAAAGGTGTGGTTAAGGTGTACCAGAAACTGATCATGCAGGCGTGGCACCTCCCTCACCAAGTCAGGCGTCACCCACACCTTTGGAGCGGTAGGGAAGTCGTTAGGACGCTGCCTGAGGCCTTTGTGGCACCGGACCATGAAGATCGCCCCGCTGAGGTGGTCGAAGCCTCGGACCGAGGTCGGATGGGATCTGACTGGAAGGAGCGATGGGCTCGGTGCAGGACGAGCCCATGCATTTTGGCCCCCCACCCAACTAACTAATGGCCCAGCAGCACAGCCGCCCAACGATCTGACAAAAGGCATTTGGCATTGGCAGATCCCAGGTTTGGAATCTCAGAGGACTGCTTTGGAGTTTGTCGCCGTATACGTCGCCCTGCTGGAGATTCGTGTAATGCTTCGGCCCAGTCAGGTTGTTCACCCAAAGCGAGTGATGGGTCTCACCTCCAGAGAGCCGATACAGCGCACTAGTTTGCTTCCATTCATCAATTCAAATAAGCATTACAGATCTAAGTCGGCAACATTCGGCAACTATATAGCTTTGACCAACTTTGACCGAGTCACAGATAGGGCAGCAGTGGTCTTGGATCCTTAGATGTCAGATCCAGTGAACTCTGGTGTCATCATCTTAAAGCCCACGTTTCGTACGATACTTCTTCCAAAAAAGTCACGCGTCAAAACGGGCGTTTTGTGCAAGACACAACTCCCCCTTCAAAGTCTCCAAAACAATCCTTTCGTACAAGACCTCCTGCAAAAATTAAGCGTGAAGTCCCATCAAAGCAACCCATCAACCATCCCTGCTGCCAAGCAGTTTCGCAAGGCCCAGCCCCAGCCCCTCACAACCACAGCGGCTGACACGCCAACCCCAATGGTACAGCCACGTTCGCCTCCACCGAACGTCACAACCTCACGATTCCCTGTGCATGCCACGAAAATTCAACTGCCACACCTCCAACACGACGCTGCCAAGAAATGTTGCTGCATCAAATCTTTGTCTTCAGCAACGCACCACACTCACCACGCGTTGGGAATGAATGAATTTCGACACTTTCTGAGCGCACTCGACTCACATCCACCAAAACCGCAATTTTAGCTGAGACTTCTCACGAAAGCATAGCTTCGAGGCAAGAGTCTAAGACGCAAATCCCAAAATGGCACGGCTCTGACCTCTCGAAATGCCACAGGAAAGCAGGCTTCACACTTGCACGGTATTGGGCGGACACTTCTGCCTCCATCCAAGACTGCAGAACTCTTCCAAAAGCTTCCCCCAACGGCGACGAGCCCACAGACTCAAATAAAAGACCGCGCGGGGCGAACACAGGACCAGCCTCCAGACCCCTCTTCGCTATGCCTTCAGGAAAAAACACCTCTCTTTGAGTGCTAGAAACGTACACCATGGCGTCTTAAAGACAACATGACAGACCTTCGAAGCGATTTGGGACACTCTGACCCTCTAGAAACTGCATGGTGGGTCGTCCACTTCCCCGGTGTCCGGTCGTTTTGCTAGCTTGGATGGTGCCAGCTTGGATGTTGCACCAAGAGAGTTTGCATCAGAATCAAAACCAACTACTCGCGAACCCTGTCAGTGAAGTATCAAGTTCCTGTCACACACGAGGGTTTCGAATCGTTGCTGCCGGAGTTCTTTTCAGTAAATTCACCCCCCAAATGTCGGCAAACCGAGACCCAATTGAGGATCCCCAAGTGCTTCATCGACCAGCCAGGAACCACTCAAACACATGCTTTGAGATCAACTCTAGGTTGACAACACACCCCAATCTGATTGTGAAGCCTAGTAGCGTCCTTGCTCCTGTGCGATGCCCTTTGCTCCTAGTAGCTTCTTGCTCCTAGTAGTAAGGCCAGGAGCCCCTCGTAGCGTCCTTGCTCCTAGTCAAAGAACTGAGCACCTCACACCGAGTCTCCCATGGTTTTGGAGCAGCTCATTCAATCGCTCAGCGGGCTTCTTCATCATCGTCTTCCTCAGCAAGGTCGAGCGGCACAAAAGTCAACAGGCGCCGAAAACGAGACAGTCGAAACGAAAACGCAATCAGAGGAACTACGTAACAAATGGAATGTCAAGGGGCATGTGTGAAACAAAAAGCTTCGTTGGCAGAAGTGCAGTATGATCAGTATGAGAGTGTGGTAAAAAAACAACGTAGGGCCCGCCGGAAGGTGGGAGACCGGACAGGACTCTGAACGAATGCCGTCAACGAATACTAACCAACTGCAACCGAATCAGAACATGCAAGTAGCAGTACCTAAAAAGCAAGTAGCCACAAACCAGTGGGAGACCTGTAATACGATTTGGATCGATTTGGTGCCCATGCCCCTTGTAAAATGCTCCTTCTTCTCCCCCCAATCAGGTCTCGCATCCAGTGCAGCTTCCCGCCACAGGTCGTTGGCCAGGCATTGGTCCAATGCTCCGGCGCTGCTTCGGTTTCTGGAAGCATTCGAACTGCCGCCTCCGTGCCCACGCAGTACCAGACCTCTGGCTCCGGTAGCTCCCAACAGTGGCCGATTCGCAAGCCCAGGTGGCAGGGGCTTCGCTTGGCACGCAGCTCACCCGTGAGGTAGTTGATCATCAACTGGTAGGAAAAACACCAAACATTGTACAGTACACGTTTCAACATGTTTTTAACATGCAATGCGCGCAAAAAGTGAACGAAGCTATGTTGATCACAAGTCTGAAGAAACTATGCTATGGTTCATCTTAAAACACATGGCCATCGAGTTCTTCCGCCTCCCCCAGCACGAAAATCCAATGCTGGCAGAAGCGGTCCTTCTGATTCTCCATCGCCGAACCCGCCTGACGGCTCCCACCCTGGATCGCTAAAGAAGAAAGAAACAAAATACTATATTTTTTTTGTTGGCCAGGAGCCCCTAGTAGCGTATTTGCTCCTAGTAGTAAGGCCAGGAGCCCCTAGTAGCGTCCTTGCTCCTAGTAGCGATGCCCCTGACATCAGTTGGGAAGTCTGGCAAACCACTGCATGTGTTACAAAAACTGTGCCACAAATTACTATTCATTCCTCCCTCCCTCGGAGTCCCTCGCAACCACGTTCCTCCTGTTGCGTCCTGTACACACTTCCCCAGTGTGACTTGCCGCAGACGTGCCCAGCATAGGTGGTCCGGCTGTCTTGGCCTGGCCGTCGGACAATGTTCGGTGCACATCTCTCTCTCTCTCTCTCTCGTGAATGTCTAAATGCGTCTGTTGCTATTCGACACTAAACAGAGAATCCAAAATACCTGGCTATACTCCACAAACGAAGACTGAGCTTGTGTACACCTCAGCATGTGATGACTGAAGCGCCTAAAGTCTGAAGTTGAATTGCTTGAGAACAGTCAGTGCTGGCCAAGCCGGCCCCCAACGGAAGGCCGGTTCAAGGGCGTGCCGGCCCTTGCCTGGACAGATCTTGCAGACGGCTGAGATCCCAAAAACCGTCAAGATGTCCATGACAAAGGTAGCCGGTTCCTAAAGCTGACAAAAAGCTGGAGGTGCTTCTTGGGTCTGAAGATTTGGAGATGTCTTTCCTTGGATGTATATGTCAGTCCAAAGCCCATCTAAACCTGTCTTGATGGAAAGATTTTTGTTGTTTCCATACGTTTGGTGGTTGGCCGTCCAAACAATTGGGCTTAAAAGCTGAAAAGAGTCCAAGCTTTCGTTCCGCCTTGCTCACTTTTGAAAAGCAGGTCTAAGAGTATGGGAATGAACTAGGGCGGGCCAACCCCAAAGCCAACCCTAGAGTTTGACGTTGAGCTTGATTGAACAAACCCGCCAACTGGCGGCACCTGGCGGCCTTGGTTTGGGGTCGGTCTAGGTCCGGAGAGCCATTGTGGGACGGATTGCGGTTCGTTCCGCTTGGAGAAAGATTGAACAAGTAGGGAATATGGAATAAGCAACTTCGAGATCCAGTGGTGGGAGATATGATTCTTGCTCGGGTGATCAACTCTCTACCCTGCTTGATACTCGGCCTTCATGCTGCTCAGGCTCTTGAATGATCTTCTGCATGCCCTCCTTGTTTTGGGCCAAGACCCTGGCACCCTCCTGCAGCACGCTCCACTCTCCATCAGGCGAGGTATTCTGGAGGAAGTAGTGTAGGCTCTTCTGCAACTGCGGCTGTGCCAGACCTTCAAAGTAGTCCTCAAAATGCACAAAACCAGGGTCTGACGTGAAGGCTGGGGAGATGAAGACCACCCCAAGAAAGTGCCGCTGATTTGCGGCCGAGAGTCTGCCAGCCTTTCGTAGGTGTCCGCCATCACGCACCCGCCACCCGAACGAAAGCATCTGCAAATCTATGCGGGTGTTTTTGTGGGCCCCATGTCACAGCCCCAGAACAGTGAAGTAACTATTCTGACCACCTGTGACATGGATTCTGAATATTCTTCTGAATGGCATGCACAGTCCGGAATAATGCTTGGTTGAATGCGTGTTGATTTGGTGAAAGCTGAAAGCTGTGGTTTGGTGAAAGTTTTCTGGCTTGGTGAAATAACTATTTCCATTATGTTCCATGTACATATATTACTTTGTTGGTATTCTCTCGTTGTATATGTTTTGTCGATCTTCTTGGTTAACATCTTGGCTTGGCTCTAAACCGGAAACCGGCGGCACAACACTTTGTTTCAGAATTTGAAGGTGTTGCTTTGGTATCTCTCTCACATGGGAAAGATTGGGAAACCATTGCAAAAACGAGTCCAAAACTATTCTTCCTCCGCAATCCCCTTCTTCCGCGTCGTTTCGTCGGGGCCCTGGCTTCAGCACACTTTGCACCTGGACCACCGGCTACTTAAGCTACTAGACATGGACGCAGAATAGCTCGGGGGAGCTTCCTCGAAGAAGTTCTCGCACTGATGATTTGGTTCCTAGATTGTTAGGGAAACTAAAGTGACCCTGTAGGTTGCTGTGTCTTGCATCTGATTTCTGGAAGCAACACTTTGGGTAATCCAGAGGATGTAAGTACCATGTGGTGATATGATCTGAAGATCTGCCATTCATTCCTATATTTGCTTTGCAAAGACGAATACAGTGCATGGCAGGATCTTGGCAAATAGATGCAATTGGTATATATATACCTGAGAAGGGGGGGAACGAAAGCCAGCAGCCGCCAGACGAGAGGGTCATTTGCTACATGGCAAAAGGTTCGGGAGAAGGTTGCGGGGCAGGTCCACGAGGAGGTTCTGGAGAAGGTTCCAGAGCAGGTTCCAAAGCAGACAAGGCTCCAGAGGAGGGCTTGGGCAGCGAAGAGACTGTCTCAGTGGCGCTTCTTGCTGTTGGGGACTTTCCTTGGGCTTATGCCACTGATCCGCCCAAAATATAATCATACGTCGCAGCTACACCCTCTTCCCAGAGACGTAGAGACACAGAACCATAGAGACATAGAGACACAGAGTCATAAAACACAGAGACATCAAACACACAGAAGTTGCTATCTACAGGGGGTCCTTTTCTGATAGCAACTTGTCGCTGCCAACCAATTACCATACTTGCCCCAATACATCCAAGGAGACTTCTCTGACAGGATGACTAGGAGGATGGCAGGAACTATATGTCTCAGCATTGGTGTCACCAACCGTGCTCTAAGAATATGGCATAGATCCGTGACTATAACCAATCCTTAAGCAGCAAGTTCTTCACGCCACCAAGTTGCTATCTACACGGGCCCCTGTTCTGATAGTGACTTGTCGCTGCCAACCACCAACCATACTTGCGCCAATACATATAACCAGTATCTATCTATCGATGATCTACCGATCTATCTATCTATTCTGTATCTATCTAGCTGCGCGGCCAAGCCGGAACAACGTTCGGTGCATGTGGACATGGGTGCCTGTCTCCACCCCAGTGCTCAACGCCCATTGTCCAAATAGCCTCCACAGCCCTTCGTGGCGCTAATGATGCACTACTCGGTGTCCATTGCATCACTCGCATCACCAGACCCCATTGTCACTGCTTTTCTGACCCTCGCTTTGGAGCGCTCTCCCCAGGCAAGCTCCGGGCTCACCCCCCACACCCCCTTTACTCACTTCGTTCGGTCTAAGAGCTCAAGCCTAGCCTATCGGCTGGCTTTCGTAAATTATATATATGAACAACTTTACAACGATTTTGCCCAATTCCAAGTCAGTACCCAGCACCAAAAAATGGGGCGGCCTGCGAGCAGGATATATCGTATATGTCCACATTGCACGATGATTGCAGGGCAGAGTTTCAAATTTTGTGTGACGACAGTGAAATCTAAGATTCCACAACTCCTCAAGAGTTCTTCACCGGTTTGATTGACCGTCTCCGCTGAAGCATGACAAGAAAAAAGCGTAAACCGAATCCCTGATGATGTTTTTTGAGCAGTTGCCCAGGTGGACGGGCGCAAAACAGGATGAAAACCCAAATCTCAACGGCTCTTCCTGGGAGATCCCGACTAGGTTTGCAGGAACACCCCTTGTCAAGACTCCCTTCGTGGCTGTCAAGATGAGTTTGGCTTTGACTTCACCGCTTTGGTTTGGCTATGGTCCGTGTCCTTGGCTTTTTGGCTTCCGGCACCCGCTGCGTTCCTTCCCAGCATCCTCCCTCCTTTCCAGCACTGGCAACTTCCTCCCTATTCCTTCCTGAAGTCTTCCCTCAAAAGGGCAAGCACTGCAAACAGATTCCAAGTATATCCACTCCCTATTCGGTCTCTCATCTCTCAAGCGTCTGCCCTGGGACGCCCTGCGAACTCGCCAGTGGCACTCAGTCGTGCTCGGTCTGAGAACCTCATGAGCACAGCACCAAATCATCCAAATAACTTCTCGGTGGTGTGTGGTAACCATGCCATGAACAAGGGCTATTGTTGGGTTGTACTTTCAGAGGCCAAGTATCTCACACTCGCCGATTAAAGAAAAAATCGTTCTGGGCAAACAGGAACAAACGTGTGAACTCTTGATGTCCAAAAATGTGTAAAAAGTATCTAAAATGTAATTATACCGGCATAGACCCCAGATAGCATCCTGTATAACCGTTTTCTGGGCCGGCAATGCAAAAGTAGTGTTAAGGCGCATGCCAATACTAAACTGCTGGGCACGGGGTTATTTCAACAGCCCGAGTGCGCAAGTGGGCGCATGTGGTCACGCGCAAACCTTTCAGAACGCCTGCGCCTTCTCACTAAAAGGGTGTGTTTCCTGCCGAAAGTAACGACGCTTAGTTTGCTACATAAAAGATGCAAGCGACACAAGGCACACCGTCCCACTCAAAAACCTACACTACACATGACAACAGCATCCACGTCAAAGGCAGGCAAGAAAATCACAAGGCGGCAGCGGCAGCTGAACAGAGACAAACTTGGGAGACAAGGCGGCAGCGGCAGCCAAGAGCGAAATCATGAAGGGAGACAAGCTTGGGAGACAAGGCGGTAGCGGCAGCCAAAAGCGAAATCATGAAGGGAGACAAGCTTGGGAGACAAGGCGGCAGCGGCAGCCAAGAGCGAAATCATGAAAGGAGACAAGCGTGGAAGACAAGCCGGCAGAGGCTGCCAAAAGCGAAGTCATGAAGGGAGACAAGCTTGGGAGACAAGGCGGCAGCGGCAGCCAAAAGCGAAATCATGAAGGGAAACAAGCTTCGGAGACAAGCCGGCAGAGGCAGCCAAGAGCGAAATCCTGAAGGGAGACAGGGAGACAAGCTTGGAAGACAAGGCAGCAGCGGCAGCCAAGAGCGAGGAGTATCATGAAGGCAGACAAACTTGGGAGACAAGGTGGCAGCGACAGCCAAAAGCGAAATCATGAAGGGAGACAAGCTTGGGAAACAAGGC